AAAAATATTTTTCTACGCCACTGGAAGCAATTGATTTTTTAGGAAATAAGTAAGTAAATAATTTTAGTTAAGTTAAAAAAGAAAGTTAATTTAAGTTCCTCCTCATAAAGTTATTTTACCTTTAAATATTTTTATATCACGTCGGATATGGCAAGACTAGACGTTACAGATTTATGTAGTTAAGTTTTTTTTGTAGGTTAAGATGGATAGAAAAAAAATGGAGAGAAAGAGAGAGTGAATATGAGTAAATTATGGAAATTGACACGTATTCATCTTGCACCACTTGTATTATATGCTATGAATTTTTATGTTTTACGATTTCATTTTTTTTAAATGAATTGTTATATTGCTTTATGCCTACTACACATTGTAGTACATTAAACCTTAATGTTATGATGTTTAAAAAAAAAATAAATTAAAAAAAAGGGAAAGGGATGTAATGTAGTATTAAGGTTCAATGGTATTAACTTGCATAACCATTGGAACCGATACCCTTCACCTGATAAATGCCTTAAATTGGTTTGACAGTTTTAATGGTCAACTTGAGTATACAGATAATCTAATAATATAACTGGACTTTGTATAACTTTACCCTAGTCAGTTGGACTTGGCCTTTCTCACACTATGAAACTATGATTGTCAGTTTTGAGCCTGCTCTGAAGTTTGTTATACATCTTAATTAGCAGTTTTTTGGTAAACAAGTTACTAAATCATAGAGAAAGAATTTCTCTATGATCCAATCAGAAACTCTAAAAGTATGGGGTGACTTACTTGAGACAAGTTATTTTTCAATATTTATATATAATGATGTGTTTCCCCTTCCTGATTTATATATAATGAAGCCAGTAACCGTATTATATATAAATAATGTTTGGTTAGCCTTTCATTATTTATATATAATGTAATCAGTAAACTTATTATATATAAATAATGAAACGTTAACGCAATTATTTACATATAATCTTTTAGACGTAAATTCACTATATATAAATAATGGGTGATCTAGTCAATTATATGTTAAATAATGAATTATATATAAATAATTGTGTTAAATAATAAATTTACACTTGGCGCCTCATACATTTGTACCCCTTAGCTACCCGAAATGAAATAGTAGACTCCAAACAGACGTAGCGCGGTTATGTAGATCGAACATGACCGAAGCCTGTTTTGGCATACTTTATATACCTGAAATGGGAGGTGGCACCGGTCCAAGTTTTCATTAAATCGGTCCAGTAGTTTCCCACTAGTAGCCTTTTAAAATGTTGCCAGAAAGAAAGAAAGAGGAAACTGCTCAGAAACAGAACCCAGTCAGCATATACAAGAAACTGCTCGGAAACAGAACCCAGTCAGCATGCTGCTGACTGCGTAAAGAAGAAACTGCTTAAAACAGAACCCAGTCAGCATGCTGCTGACTGGGTAATAATAATAATAATAACATAAATTCACGTGCCATTTCATTGTAAGTTATCCGACTACCGTATATCTTTTCACATTGAATTAAGCCCATGAAACAACAGATATTCTTCACAGTGAATTAATTACGTTCAAACATGTATTGGAACGTAAGTCAGCAGAACAGTGTAAAAAAACAGCGGTTTGACACTATTTTTTAAAATGTCGGTGCATATTAATGTTATGTATTGAAAAGAAAAAAAAAACAAGCTTCATGATGCTTGGAAAACATCTTTATCGGGGAAGCAACCCAGTGGTGGTGCCAGGATTTGCAATTTACAGTAAGACATTATTCTTATTCGTAATTCTGTTAATGGGAGGATAGTATTGTAATGTAATACGGTGTTCTTTTTTTAAAATAATATAAAATGGAAAACGAATTTGAATATAAGTTACCGTCTATAGTTGGTTACATTGCATATTCTTTGTTTCTCGTTGTTGTATTCAGAAATTTTCGGTTTTGGAAGTTAATTTTAACATTAAAAAACATACCTGAAATCATATTACGATAACTTGATGATGCCTATCAAATAACTAATAAAAATTCACCAAAATACCGTACGTCAAATATCCGTAGCTTCCAGGGGGAACCCTGGACCCCCAGCAGTGGCATTTAGGCGGCCCCTGGCCCCAGCCAAGTGAGGTTCGCTTCTCTCGCCTAGCCACCCGGCCAGTGGCGACGCCAGCGGGGGGGGGGAGGGGGCTTATGCCAACCATAAGTCCCACCACCCCCATCGATCGGCCAAAGCTCGTCGGGAAGTCGGACAGCCTTAAAAGTAATTCTTGGCCAGAACTATGTTTCATATCCTACTGCGTTACAAGCCCTAAATTTGACACGATTAGATGTGAGAAGAGAAAAACTTCTAATGAAATTTGCCAAAACGCTTAATGATATTGTGGCAAATGCAATTAGAAAACGGAGGGGTGAACTAAGTAAGAGGTCACTGAGAAATGGGGGAAAAATTGACGAATATTTTTGCCGTATAGAACGATATAAGAAGTCAACCTTCCCATCAATTTGTAAACTGTTAAATAAGTGAGAGGTTGCCTTTTATTGCCTTAATCGGTCTTTTTTACAAATGTGCTTTGTTACGATTGAAATGAATGTGTTGGTGCTTGTTTGTTTTAAGTGATTATTATCTGATTTAAATAATTGTGAATAAAATTTTAATTAATTTTAGTGTATTATCTAATTTAAATAATTAAAATAATTAAATAATTTTGGAAATTCCAGTGTAATATCCAATTTAGTGCCTTATTAATTTTTATTGGGATGTTGTTGACTTGTTTTTTTTTTTTTGTTTTTTTTATTTAATTCTAGTGTATTATCTGATTTAAATAATTGTAAATAAAATTTTAATTAATTCTAGTGTAATATCAAATTTAGGCCTTATTAATTTTTATTGATGTTGTTAACCTGTTTTAGATGTTATGCATTCGAATATTTTAGATATGTAAATCAAATTTAGCCAATTTGTTTTTTAAATATTTTCATTTGTTGTTGAGTGCAATCGTTTTAATTAGTTTATAATTGTTTTTTATGTCGAATTTTGTTAATATTTCTCAATTCAGCCTTTGTGTTGCCACGAAATATATTTCGATGTGAATAAACCAGAATAAATAAATAAATAAATAATCATAATAATAATAACAATAATCTTATCTTATCTTTTTATTATTCTTTCTTATGTTTCCTGTTCTTCTTTTTTTCCTTTCTTATGTTTCCTTTTGTTTCTATGTTTCATTTTCTGTTTTAGTCTCTCCTTTTCTCTCTTATGCTTCCTTTCCATTCCATTTCTTTCTTATATCTTTTTTCTTATTCTTTTCCTTTTCTGTCTTACGATTTTCATTTCTTTTCCTTTTATCTTTTTCTTTCCCCCTTTCTTTCTTATTTTGTAATGAAAATCAGGGCCCCCGTGACCTTTTTCACGGACCAACGTTTCTCTATTGATTTAACATCACTAGATAGAAAAAATGAACGGGCGGGCTAGGAGAACCTCCAGAAAAAGGACGGAACGTCCTTTAAATTCGGATGCTTCTCTTAGTAGACCTTAGCATATGATCAAATATTTTTTCGACAGTGTGGAATCATGTTCTTTTAGATTCGAATGACTTTGTTCTTTTTTTAACATTATTTTCTTCTGAAAAAACGATTTTAAGGTTGATTCTATTATTAATGGCATATCAAAAATCCCCTCTAGAACAAAAAATCATTTTGCTAGTTCTCTTTTAAATATTTATTGTCTACCAATAAAACAATCGTCTAGGCCTACCCAAAAGAACAACCCCACCAAAAACCATTCATCCTATCCATTACGAAGTTACGAAAATCTTACAAAAATACATTTATGGAAGTTTTGTACCGAGAAAGCCGAGTTAAAACTCATCCCTGCTGTTTTAACCTTAATGGTATTACGATTGTTCTGAAAGTAGCTAAAATCTATTTAATAATTTAATATTAACGGTGTTTAGTGACGCAAAATTTCAGTTATTGACGCGATAGTATCGTTTATTGCGACCGATGTGCAGCTAGCAGCAGTGGAGTGGACGAAGATCACCGAAAGTTTTTAATTAAGATGATGTCTTCAACGGGAAGATTGATAGCGGTAAGTTCGTTATTTTAGGTCTAATTGATAGTATAATGAATTGGTACTTGTATTTAAGATCTCCTATTAACGTTGTTAATTAGTTAAGTCGTTTTTATTTGGTAGCTAATAGCTAGGCTACTACTCTAGGCCTAACCGCCAACAGGGACAAAGGCCAAGCAAGGAAGGCACGCCAGGCAAGTCTAACCTCGGCCTAGGCAGGTTTTTTTTATACCCACTCACCGTCACATCACACAGGCCTAGGCTAGTCATGTGTTCTAGACGGCTAGACTGTAGCAGTATAGACCTACATAGAATAGTAGGTCATGGACAACTACTGTAGACTAGAGTAGAGAAAGGCATATATGTTAGCCAAGCCTTTTAATTTTATGATTGTTTAACTGCACTTGTTACTGTATTCCCACACTTGATGAGTGTAAAGTATTTTAAATTTTTATGCCTACTGCCTCAACCTCAACACTTCTCTTCAAGGTCAAGCTGGGCTCAATCTATAATGGTAGATTGCAAAGCTCAAGTGGACATAATTATGGACAGGTCCAAAGCTATTTATATATGGTTCCTCATTTTATTAGGGGCCAAAGGTTCAATATTTTGGAAATATCCATTGCACAGTCATCAGTCAGTTAATTTCTTTTAAGTTTATTAACTGTCTCTCCATTTCCATCAACACATTTTAAAAGAACACTGAGGCTGAAACTGCTTAAAAATTAAGAACAATAAGAACAAATATCATTTCTTTAACTAGTTTTATACATTTCATGGGATACATTTTATGTTTTAATGTTTTTTAGTCTATAGCGTCTGTCTCTTATACACATCTAGATGTGTATAAGAGACAGATACAGTACAGTATGTGTAACAATCATTTGGGGCCATTTTTACCAGGTCTTTTTTCTAGGGGAATTTTTTCTGGTGCCTTTTTTTCAGGGGCCATTTTTATCTACAGTGGTATACTACTGTTCAATATAATTTTCTGTGTTTGAAAAGTGTGTAAAATAAGAACAAAATAAGAACATTTTGAGCCTGAAATCAGCCAAAAAATAAGAACACTGAGCCTGGGTAAAATTTTACTGGTTCTCATTAAAAAAAAGTGTAGTGTCAGTGATTTTGCAGATGACAATATACTTACAGAGTAATTAAGAATGCCAATTACTTAATCATCTTTTGAATGGCAGTAAATCTGGAAGTTTAACACTCAAATTAAATTTTTTTTTTTTTTTTTTTTTTGTCTAATGCCTGTCTCGTATACACTTTCTTTTTTTTTTTGGTAAATAATACCACACATACTGTACTCTTAGGCCTACTGATAAACATAAATACTTATAATCATATAAGATAGGGTAGTTTTATACCAGCATCCCTAGAGCTTATGTGAGTCATGAACTAGCGAGCCCTCATTTTTGGCAGTTTAAAGGTGCTCCAGTAAACAATGCAATGATGCTGGTTTCCAGTGCCATCATACTTGTTTTTGTTATCTCTTAAGCAATTTTTGGGTTAGGTTTTTGGATATTGTTTTTTTTTTTGGTGAAAGTTACTGTCTCTACCTCAAGCACCTTGAGCATTTTTGATATTGGATATGATATATCATATTTTTTATTATTAATAGTAATTTTCATCAGTTGTAACTCATGCTGTTGAAAACCTGCTGCAAGATTGCATTATAAAGCAAGAGTTTTTGGTTGTGTTGCACAGTTAGTTAAAAAGTCCTGGACTTGCAAAGACCCAATGAAAGATAAGGCATGTGTGCCTATTCCATTAAGGAAAACATGGAGTACTTCTAATACAACATTTTCTTAGACCAGTTAAAACAGACAACTCAGCACCTAAATAGAAATTCTTGTCGAAGCATTCAACTCAAAGCTAAGAACATGAATGAACCTGCCCAAATAACCTTTTCCATTTACAACTTATCATACTAAAGTGATAAATAGTGCTTTTTTATGCAAGACCTGCTTTTCAAATACAGTGTAGTTTACAAATTAATCGATAGCCATTATTCTATTACAGAAAGTGAAACCACATATTCCTATGATAAAGTTCAGAGCTGGCAAGAGTCCTGTTAGTAAGTACAGGGTATTTTTTTGAGTAACACTGGAAAAACATGGTTCCATCTGAGGGACTTTTTATATATTTTATAGCAATTTGTAAATACAAAGCCATGAAATTATAATATGACCAAGTGGACCATTTCTTGTTTGTGGTTGAGTCTTGAAAAACTCTTCCAAAATTGCAGGTTAAACAAAGCTGGAAGGGTTGAAGCTGAATAGCAAGAACATCTCAAAAAGCTCCTGTCATTTAAAATATACTTAATGCAAAATGTCTTTCCTTCATTTAATTCAAGGGGCTAATAAATCTGGGCCATGAAATTAGCTTTAGACTGGGTGAAAACTTCAAGGCTGGGTGGCCCACCCAACTCAGCGCCCACCATACATTGGCATCTTTTCGGGTTCAAAGTGCCAGTTAAACAATATATTCACGATCATGTGTCTTAATATTGAAATATGTACTTTTATTTTCTGTAGGTCTTCAAAAGCCATTAGCAGCTGTAACAAGTTTAAAATCACATAACACAAGTACAACTAGTAGTAAGGAAAAGGGACCGGTCATTGAATTTGGCCAGCTACCATTAAAATTCAGGAGAGCACAAATAGAAACAGATGAAATGGAATTCATAATGGTAAGAGAGACTTTCTAAATTCTATGCCTGTATATGTTGTACAGTAGTTATGTCATGTATTCATCGGTACTGTAAGCATTACACCAATGAGCACATGACATTTATAACCTACACTCACTGGTACACATAACTGAACTTCATTATATTTAACTATACTTGTAGTAGACAACCCCACCAGGTACTCAATTATACTTGACCTGGGTGAAGAGAAGCAATGTACGTAAAGCACCTTGCTCAAGTACGCAAGCAAAATGTACAGCGCGGGATTGAAAACCTGTCCCCAAAGTTGGAATCCCAACCGTTACACCTTTGCCAAATGCTTTCACAAATTGCATATCGTTAAGCTTCTGAATGCATAATTTTTCATTTTTCTAGCAGTTTTAGTTTTATTTTTTAATTGATTTGCTATTTTCAGAGAGGTGGACCAGACTTATGAAGGCAAACTCCATGGTACAATAAACTGTCTACAGATGGTATTTAGATGGTCTATGCATCATGTTTGCTGTTATCAATAGCTGTAACTACAATGAATATGTTAATCTGGAGGTGATCTGGTGGAGTAACCTAAATAACTCATGAATATTCATATGAGCTGATATTTAGCGTCAATTACAATAACAAATAGTTTATATATTTTCTTTAAAGAAATATAGTAATTTATTTATGAAATGTAATTATATTAAATGTTCAAATGATAACTGGGGAAGTGTGTCTTAGGATTATGGTACCTAGATAGACGTGTACTCTTGAAATAACAGTACAACTGCATATTGATATTGTTGTAATTGTCAGACAAATACAAATAAAAAAAATCTAGTTTATATTTGCTTTTTAAAATGTATTGCTCTATTTTAATTGTCTAATGCCACTTAATTACTGTATATTTTCAAATCTAATTAAAGTTGTTTAAAATATGCTTGTGTGTTGACAAATATATTAGCAAGTTGCTAGGTCTTTAAATAATTTTTAAGTTTTGTACTGTATTGTAATAAATTTTCCAGTTGTCTTGGACAGCAGTACATTAACCAAGTATTACTTATTGTTGGTTTTTTTTTTGTTGCTAAATCTATAGCGTGATCCATCCATAGGAGTCTGGTCAATTCAGGTCTATAATAATAGGGTCCCAAGTTGGAAGAAATCCCTTCCAGGAGATCTTGTAGTTAAATTAACTTTCTTAACATATTTAATTTAAATTTGCAACGCATGGCAATACCCATCATCGTCACTGTCTTCTGTGAGACAATTGATAATAAAGTAGTAAAAACATGCAAATATTATGAATTTGTGGGAGATGAGTTATTTTCTAGGTGATTCTTGCTTGCTTGCAGGAGTAGGGGGAGGCTGATCCCCCTCTTGTGATTTCCGGAAGACTTTGGACCCTTCAATAAAGTGATGAGAAAATTGTGGAAAATTAAAAATGTATTCAATTAAATAACTTGCTCCTTCGTAACTAATATATACAGTAGATATTTTAATTATTTTATTTACACCTGATAACAAATATCAATTAAATTATTCAGTCAATACTGTAGATAGATTAATAAGCTACCAATCTTGATTAATGTTTAAAGCGAGAAAGCACTGGAAAATAGCAGCTGTTTGAACTTTAAATTTGAAACTGCCTATTGTAAAAAATATTTTAAAGCATAAAAGCTTGGATTTGCTTTTGGAAAGTCTAACCAGTGATATTTAAACCAGCTTGTACATTTGGATGGATGTTCTCCTAAATTATAGCAGTTTATTACAGATTAGGCAAAGTTCCAGGCAGAACTATTTTTCTCAGTAAATACTATGAAAAACAACCATTTAAATGCACTCAGTTCATTCCATAGGCAAATTGAATTAAATTGCTCGCTGTTGATGCTGTCCAAGGAGGTTCAATACCATATTAATAGGGAGCTTGCGATGCCAAAACCAGCACCAGTGACCGAAACAAAAGAATTTACTTTTTAATATACACTACTGGTATTCGTTTTCTCCACATCATAAGCTTTAAAATTATAGCTCATTTACTGGAATCAATTTAGTATTGTCAAGTTATGAGTAAAAGTATTACGGCTTCTGTGTACTAAAGTATACAATACTGCCGCATTCAAATGCTGATTACTCAGTTTGACAATTAGCGACAGTACACTGGTTTTGGGATGGCAAGCCTCATGTGCAGCCTGGGTTCTAGGCCCTAATTTTGGGTTATTCACTCTTTATTGCGCGCCATACCTAATTTCATTGGCGTCCCACACTCAAATTTTTTATTTTTTCCGGATTATTTTGTCTCTAAATTATCTTGGTTGGTGGCACTGCCCAGAATGAGAAAAAAAATAATAAGTGAAGACTGTTAACTGGTTTCATCGATCAGCTCACCCTCCAAGTGTGTACACACCACTGTTTTTTTTCAGTTTACAAAACATGGCTTGCACTAGGACCACTTGCTTAAAAAATACATCTGACTCAACATCATCACAATATTCTTTTGTACAAATATACTCTATTTAATATCTGCAATATAATTTTATATGTTGGCATAGTTTTGTTAAAATTTTCAGCAAGTTCTAATTAACTGTGGCAAGCAAAATCAGTTAAACAGTAATATACAAGTTATCTGTAGCAAATAATTGGTGGAATTATGGCAATTAAGTAACCTTTGAAATACTGGTTCCATAATAAATGTGACTATGATAATTATATAAAAACTCCATAATTTTGAAAATATAATAGAACTAAAATGCTTCAAACATCTTTACAAGTTCCTCACCCTTCCCATCAACATCACACCCCTGTGTTAGATGTCTATTTTTGCAATTTTCGCCTATAAGTTGGAACAAAGTGTTCCCGTTGGAAGATAGTTTGAAGTAAAATAAAAGTGTGGCTGGCAATAATATGGCAGAGTGTGTTCATATTACCTACGAAAGAGATGCTCATCCTAAAGTGCTTTCTACAGGTCCTGTTTAACACTTGTTGATGCATCACAAATTTTCAATTCATATATTTTAAATGTTATGTGATAATTTTTGTGGTCCACCATTCATACTGTTACAGTTCATTCTATTTATTTTATCTATTCTATAGAATGTATGTAGTTGCTCAATCATATTTTAAGAATTAAAAAAAAATATATGTTTTGAGTATACCTTTTAAGCATAGAGTACTACAGTAAAAGCCTGTACTACAATACTCATGGAGGCTAATAAATACGGTACTTGCTTTTTTTCATACAAAAATTATTAAATAAATCCAGCCTACTTGGTAGACCAAAAATTGAAGGTTTGTACTGGCATTAGGGAGCTTTTCTAGTTGCGCGATGCTGTGACGCTAGAATACAAACACTCATGCGAGACCATCCTATGTTCTCCGCACAACATAGATTTTGTCAAATTGCATCTTAGTATTCATGCTATGAGAACTCATGCGCAAATGGCTTCTTAGTAACGTCATTAGGTTCTACGTCCTAGTGTGTTGTGCAAGATGGGACAGCCGCTATTTGCGAAGTTCAAACAGACATGGTTGTCACAGCGCGTAGTAGTGACACACTTGTGGCGTGCAGTGGGTTTGTCGGCATTATTTTGATTGGTAGATTCCAAACCATAGTCTCAACACCTAGACTTTGTGGGCCTTGCCACGTGGCACTCTCTGATTGGTCAGCAGGAATCACTTGTTCTGGCAGGGGTTCTTTGGACGTTACAAATTCAAACCGTAGCCGCCATTTCAAGCATACTACATAGAATGAAGAAAAGAAAAAATATTAATTATGCAATATCATTTATCCACCAACCTGATGTAATCCATTATTACAAGCATTAAATCTTAATACTACATCTAACATACTTACTGTACTACAGGCAACACTAACTTTTTATAGATTTATTCACTGCAGTAAACAATATATAGTGCACATTATAAGTGTTATATATAGGACTAGGTTTGTTAAAGTATACCTACCTATGTCAGTGATGAAGCTTGGTGTAAGGTGTAGAGGTATAGGAAGAATCATGTGGGATTTACTGATGTGTACGCAGAACTCCTGGTGCTTACTGTACGAGCAGATAGAAACGCCTTGATTGGAGCGCCGCCGGCACTCCTCTGTTATCTGCTCCTCACTCTGTAGTGTAACAGAGTACTGTAAAATACAAGCGACAGAACAGTTTTAACACCATCTTGTAAATAATATTTTCATCAATTTTATCAAAACATTGCAAGTGCAGATCAAGTGCAGACATCAATGTTTGACAATTTTCACTCTCACAATACTGTAAGTACTGTATTGCTGGATTTTAACTATAACAACTTAATCTATAGTAATGACCATTCATCACTCCATTCTAAGTTATCCATCACCCATCCATCCTTTTAAACCCCACCTCTTTGAATCTTTCCTCCATCCATCAATTTACATTTTTAAATCAACTTCTTTCATAGTCCTCCTACCCGGGATTCCCCTGAATACTTACCTGAATACAAGATACAGGACAATTACTGAAGTCAAAGGTGGCTATAATGTCCTCACCCAGTTTGTATGCTGACTTAAAAATGCAAAAGCGAGCCACTGTACCATGTGCGTTGGTTATGTTGTACGTATCTGGTCGAGATAATGTTAGAAAACACATGAAAATGCATAAAAATGTGAAGACTTGTAACATAGACTTAGCATTGGAATAGAACAAACCGCACCTTCCTGTCCTCAATTTTATAGATGTTCTGGGTGAGATGTTAGGAAAAGTCTGTGACAGGCAGGCTAATTGGCTTATTGCCACATTATTAAATATTTAATTATTGGATCCATAGTTTCAAATAGTACTTTAGGTTAGATGAAGATAGAATCCAGTTTTAAATCTTTTGGTGGATTATTAGCTAAATTTGCTCATCTAAGGTACTAATTTTAATACTAAAAAAGGAGGGTATTTGAAATAAGTCTTGATATGTCATTAGGAAATACTTCATATAAATAAACTGCAGATTTTTTTTTACTTACTTGAGCTCTTTCGCGAGGTGATGGTAGTTAAGACTTGGACAGCTTGATCCAGGAGCGAGTTGGGCTTGCGTTCCCCTTGTAAGAATGGGTTATCAGTATCAAAGTCATCATCAGGATCCATAAAGAACGTTTCCCCCAGACCTGGAGAATGTTAAACAACTGTTACAAGGTATTCATTATTCATTTTATTTTATAACTTACAACAGACTTATACTCCTGGATGGAGGGATAGATTTAAACAATGTTAATAAAGTGTCTTGCCCTTCATGACACATATAAGTTACTAGCATGAAGATTTGAACCACTGATCTTGTGATTAGAAGTCCAACGTCATAGTACTGCACCTCATGTTTCCATATTTTGTGGATGAGTGAATATATTGCTAAATAAAATGAAATCAAATTAAAGCTGACAAAACAACTTACCATACAAAACAAGCACCCTGAACGGAACACGGAGGAGTCTTGTTGGAGAGTTGACCCGCTGTGTTCCTATGGTAACCTTATATGAATACTTGACCGACTGGCCTTTGTATGAAGGTGGTGCATCCTGAGGAATTGTCTCAAAATATGTATCTGAAAAAGTACACAATAAATAATGGTAAATATTAAATATTACATCACTTACATACACTAGAGTGCTTCTTCAAGTATTAATTCTATATCAGTGTTGTCCCGATGCGAGTTTAGCCGTAAATTTTACTTGTAAAAAATTGTGTGTTAAACTAACCACTAGGCCTAGTTAGTTAGGTAGCTTAGGCTGGCCTTCTTTCAATAAATAAATATCTTTCCAGTCTAGAGCTAGACTAACTCTATGTGGTGTTGTTTTTTTCAAGTCACTGATCTCCACCTAAAAGGGCTCATGACTCACGATGTGGACTCATCGGGATTTATATGGACAAATTTACCAGTAAACTTTTTTCAATTGGGTGAACACTGTATATCTTAATAAAAATAATATGAGGTTTTTATAGACAAATCCAATTAGGAAAGGATGCGCTGTATTTGTGCTGCCCTTGGAGACCCCTGCGTGTATGTAATGTCCATGTACAGTGGAGCAAATTATTAATTAAATAGGGTAGATTACGATGAAAATATATATTTTCATCATACATACCATATGTATGATGAAAATATATATTTTCATCATACATACCATATGTACAATAATTGAGGGCTAATAATCACTGTATGAATCGGTCTATATAGTTGATTACAAAATTCAGATACAGCAAATAGAAATGCATTTCCTGAAAGGACATAACATATACAATGTACCTTAGAATTTGAACCCCTGACCTTAATGTTGAGAGCTTAAAACTACACCAGCCGATCCAACAAATTATGTATTCATTAATGATTAAATGTTACAAAATGTTTTGAGACTTATTTGATATATGAAATAGAATACTTACAGGTTTTGCTCTCGCCTGGAGATAGCACAAGGTCACAGACAAGAATCTTGGGGGTGGTGGATACAACACAGATACCCTTCTCCCCTAGAAATATGAAGAGAATTTATTTATTTGACACAGCAGAATAAAGACCTTCAATACCTAATTTAGTTTCAATTAGTCTATTTTATATTAGTTAAGGGAAACTTAATGAATACTGAGGAATTACTTGTTTCTATACAGTACTATTGAGAATAAAACAATATTTTGTTAACTAAAACATACTATATTATAGGAAAAATAAACAAACATACTATATTATAGGAAAAATAAACAAAGAGAATTATGAATAAAATAAAATAACACAGCACTTTGGTAGAGAAAGACTTATGGAAGGAAGGCATGCTTGGATGAAAAGAACGGAAAAGCATGCAATAAAAACAGAAAACAGACTACCATGATGATGCAAACATAGAGCGTTGCTCTCACCCCTGTTTGGTGTGAAGCTGGTAGCGCTGCCCAGCGGTATACCGGTGGCATCTTGCTGAATGCTCTTTTGTATGGGAAGCTTCACCTTTGAGTCACTTACACTACACTGGCAGTGAAGCTGAGCACTTGCCCAAGCAAGCGTCTCACTCCTGTAAATATACAAATTTGATTTAATAATTTATAAATGTATGAACAAATTTGATAATCTTTACAGTCAATTGGAAGGTATCAAAACTGTTTGATTGAAGTTTAATTCTGTTAAGATCAAATAATTTTATTGAAACACACCGATGTGTAATATATCTTGTATAATATTTTTGTATTGAATGTTTACTTATTTTGTAATTTCAAAAATTTCTGCTGTACAGTTTCTCATTGCAAATGTATTTTTTATACCTGAATAAATAAATATACAGGTATTAAACAAATATATATTGCTTACAATTTTCACATGAATCACCCTGGTCCAATATCACTCTTCACTAATATAATTCAGGACCAATTACTATGAAACCTATGAAATCATTTTAATATCCTAATATATTAAGCATACACAATTTCATATCATCATGGTTATAAAATTTTTATTATTCAAAAAAAAAAAATACCTTGAATGTCCTTTGTTTGAAAATGTGATGACACATTCAATAGCCTCTCCAGCTAAGAATACAGAACCTCGCACAAGGCAAGCATGTACATCAATCATATTCCAGTCTCTCAAAGTTCACAGTCTTGTAAATAAGAGAGAAAACTGCGATAAAATCTATGCCTACTCACTTGGTTATGCAACCAGTGCTTTAGTAAAGCACTTACTTTTTGCTTATTTCTTTTTTTAAATTATTCTATAGAACTTATATACTTATGATCAGGAATCAGGAATTCCTGATGATGACATAATTAAAGCCCCATTCCCGGCAAAAATTTCAGTTGTTAAGAAAGATTTTTGTATATGTTATAAACATTTATATATATAATACAAAATTGCTAGTTTAACTGAATTTAGACATTTCTAAACATGAAAAAAATGTAATTTTATAAGACTGAAATTAGATTTTTTTGTGTCACACAAAAAAAATAAATGCGGATAAATTTTTCATATTTGATTTTGCGATAGGTCTGCGAAGAAATATAGTAGGCGCCGAAAACATTAGCCTATCCCAACACTGCTAGGCTAGGCCTAGCCTTACCTCGATTTAGGTTCCGTTATCACACATAAAAACAGGTGACATGATATTTTCTGTTGCTAGTATCGACACTATTTCAGAGGAATTATTTCAAATTTGTTGAAAACTGATTCTGACCGAGATTTTGACACTTAAACAAACATATCTCAGGCCTACTCGATCGACTGCAGTGTGACAGATGCAAAGTATAAAAACTAATCTCATTAGAGAGGGCGCACTTTATTGACTGTATAAAGTCAAAAAGCGAGAGCATTCCAGCGGATGCAATCTACACCCTCTGAATTTACCTAGTAACGAAGAATGTGTCGAGAAAGTAGTATGAACTATGAGAAACAGTCTGTATTTCTTATTTTTTTATACTTTTGCATGACACTTAAATTTATGCCAATATTTTTCCATTATTTATAATAATTAGAGTAATGCATATGCATTCTTTCTAAAAAAATTATTTTTTAGTGAAATTTTGCTGGGAATAGGGCTTTAATGTCAAAATATTGAATCCCGACAGAATGGCCTGAATTTCGATACTTGGAGTATCTATTATACTATCTTATCTGAGATTAATCAGTGGACCTTTCGGTTTATATACTTATAGTGCAAAAAATTCAATATAGGCCTATATTTTCTTTAGTACTAATTTCCTATAGTACAAAAATACTAGGCCTATGTCTATTTATATTCTAATAATATTTTGCAACAAAACCATATTTAGAATTTTGGTAGTTCATAAACACACAACGGAAAGTTGCAAAATGTAAAAATAGAAAAGTTGGTGGAATTGGGGTTGAGATATTTTGACTGGAGTCAATTTGATGCAGCTGGTGGGCCGAGTTGACTTAGTCGCAATTAAATCAGTCAAGCGGCTTAATTCTTATCTCCGCCAAGTCCCGTCAATCACCTAATCCCTGGTGTCAGGCCTATGAGAGTAGGACGATCAGGCCCACTTGCAGACGATCAGGCCCATCCTAACTAAGGCGATCCGGTCCACCTATGTGGACTATCAGGGACACTTCTGATTCATTATTGTGTTCTAAATATATTCAACATACAGGTATTATTAAAGGCCAGCTCTGGGCAAAAATTTTCTATTGATTATATATTATAGTTATTATCAATCTATTGATGCAGGATTTTTCTGAATTTTGTTTTGCTACATGATTTTTTTGAAAATAAGTACTTTTTTGAAAGTGGGGGCATAGGTAAACTTGCCCAGCAAAATTCCTATTCTTTTGCACGAAAATGACCTTAAGAGCAGGCATTTTGAAAAATTCATAACAAATAAACAATAGGGCAAAAAAATTACACTAAATGATTAAACTGGGGTAAATTTAGTAGAACTTTTCGTTTCTGGTGTTTTTATTTTACGTCAAGTACGTATTTCTGCGCAATTATCATTTATTTCCCACCGTACCCACTTAATTTTTTTTCCCTTAAATCCGGGGAGTCAATCGCTCTGAGCTTTGCGCATACGCTAACTTGGCAATCCACTGCTGCTGCTCTCTCGCTCGTGTAAAAAAGTGCGAGCGAGAAGATGACAAGTATGATGAATAAAAAAAATAAAGACAGGAGTAGGCCTATTGTGGTTGAGTAGTAATGGTGGAAAGATAGACAGGAAGGTTTGGTGGTAGATTTTATCGATCTAGGTCTACAGTAGCTATGGATGCCTTTGAGCCAGAGGTGAGGCCTAGGCCCTATATCGTTGGAAAATCGTCGACAGGGAAGGTACCTATGCCAGCCAGCCCAGCGGGATTCATTCCCAGCCTGGCTAGGAGGATGGACGAGTTGGGACGATTGAGTCGGTTGTCGTTGTTATGTGGTATCATTTGCTACATAAGAATTGAAGGAAAAATGGCAGACCACAGTTGTTTGACAATGATATATTCAAGAAACTGTGCCTTGATATTAGGATGTTATCAAACTCGTCTATGAATCGAAAAAGGAAAATTCTCAGAGAATAAACGAGGCAACGGCAGGCCTTACATTAATAAAATTATAGTAATATTTACATACATACAGGGAGGCAACTGAGCTGGTTTTGATACTAGTCCTAGCCTAGTGAGGGCCTTAAAACCTTCTTGGCCTTGATCTTTGTTTTATATGCATGTCAATCCATAAACTACTCTCTTCTGTCATTAACTTTTTTTTTTTAGTTTTATTAATAGTATTAGTGATTCTGTTTTTTCAAATACACCATCTTGACCGACGCGTTTTATAGATTAGTGTGGTGAAGTCCACAGCAGCGCGATGTCATGTTCTCGCGGTGTCGTTGGTTGGCAGTTAGTATGTTGTAATTTGTTTTCTCATCACGCTTGGAGTTTTCTAAAACCTAGCTAGTGAAAAAAGTAGTACTGCTTGATTTTTGCAGTTCTAAGCGGATTTTTATATTCTCATTTTTGGTCAAATTGACGAATTTTTTTGTCGAGATTACACACATGATATCTTATATTTTATAATAATGTATTTGAACACATAGTGAAGAGAAAATGTATGCCAGGAGCCTTTAAGAATCGTAATTAAAATGATCAAATAAATATAGGCCTAGGCTTTATGAAAATTTTAATTAAGAATCGTAATTAAAACGATCATATAATTATTTATTGATTTAGGCCCATTTCGGTATTGACTGATAGACTAGCCGCTAGGTATGAAACATCAACAAAATACAAAGAACAAACGATAAACATGGGCTGAAATTATTTTGTCCAAGTCTGACATTCGGGCCTATATTTCCAGCCTATCGGGCAAATTTTTCAGGACGATTGGGCCCACTTTCAAATTGGGCTCGATCGTCCTGAAATGAGCCCGATCGTCATCATGCCATGGGCCCGATTGTCTACTAGCCTATAATTCGTACCCCTCATTTCATGTATGGGCCTAGTTGAGTAGTTTAGGTAGGCCTAGCCTAAGCTAGCTAGGCTTCCAGGCTCAACAACCTTTTAAATTACAATAAACAGTCAATGTCGTCTATAAATAAAATCAACATTACCTTCAACTTCAGCTAAATGCAAGGATATTTTCAGAACATGATAAGATTAGTGGTTACAGAGCAAGTAGACATCAAAAAGACAATCCCTTTTTTTTTTTATTAATACAGTATTGTTATTTTTTTTTTTCCTTTTTAAGGACAGCGCCACCAACAACGAATTTTTAATTAGAGGAATATATTTTATGGGACGCCAATTAAATTTGGTATGGCGCGCACTGAGTGCAATAATAATTTATGCAACAAACACCACTCGATACGCGCTCACAGACAAACCAAACCTCAAGTACAAGAAATAGGCCTGTAAAGAACACAATCTGAGTCTCGTTTGAAGAACAACAGCAACAGACCACAATCAGTCGTTACATGTGACACATTAGGCCTACCCAATGTTGTCTGCCCACACTATTTTCATATCAATTTGTTTGGGCTTTTGACAACGTTTTTAACATACTGCGCACGTGTAAAGACAAACATGAACAGATTGAGAGCGCTGATGCACAGCACAGCAAGCCCGTAGCCAGGACTTTGGTAGGGGAGTTCTTTTTGATACGGAAATGGCACTTGTGAGAACCATTGGCTGTGGCCAGGGGGCCGCCAAGGGCCCCCGGGGGTCTAGGGCCAAAACCCCGGTGGGGGTCCAGCATTCTAAGCATTTACAGGTGTTATTTAATTGATTTGAGATGCCATACATTTAAAAAAATGTATATATTAAAGAGGTAATGTTTTGAGTTGGGAAAAGATAAGAAAACAAAAATAAAAAACTACTACTTTAGTACTACAGTATTGGTAACAGTAGCATGATACAAACTCCAAAGAATCCAGTATGGTTTATTCTTTATTTTTTATTTATATAGCACGAAGTTGTATCTACCCACTTAAGACAATCAGTAACAAAAGAACCGAATTGTATGGTTGGTTGTAGCGTATTATAATCATATGTATATATATATATATACACAGGTGAAACTACACCGACACCATCCCGGTATTTCTGAGTCAAGGTTTCGGGGCCTGAATTTTTTATGTTACTAGGTAGGCCTAACAATCACGTATTAAAATAGGACTTTTAATGATGATAGGCTCTAGGATAGGCCTAAAGTGTAGGCTAGCCAGCCTTTGTTGAAAGGGCACTTCATGAAAAGGGGGTTCGTTCGAACCCAACGAACGCCCCTGGCTACGGGCTTGCACAGTGTTTGGGTGTGATTTAATTATCGGTAAAGGATATATAAAAATGCACCTTTTTGAAACGATAAATCATTAATTTAGTGAAACACTATTTAAAATACATCCACAATTTAGGCATAACACTGTAGAAATAAGGTGTCTAGATATGTATCAAGCATATATTCATTTAATGAATTTTAATTCTTTGATACAGCATGCACCATATTTCCTTCAGCTTGGAATCACGTCAATTCCCTGTGCAGTTTTTCTTCTTGAAAGCCTTTAACAGAATCAAAAAATGACAGAAGAAAATTTTATCGAATAAGATTAATCTATATATAACTGATCACAAGAAAATTTACTTTCTGTTTCCGATTCAATCTAAGCGATCGGATTAGTGTAGGCAAAGTTGTAAAGAAACGACTCCTCCTCAGTGGCGGCGCCAGCGGGGGCAGGGGCTTAAGCCCCCCCCCTCATCGGTCTGGTCAAGCCGCCCCCCCCCCACAAAAAAAAACCAAAAAAAAACCGGGGGCGAACTATGGAAAAAATGTTTGTAATAGCTATATTTACAACCTTCTTTAAACCGTTTCAACCTAATTTATCGAGTTGAGTAAGAGTTCATGTAGTAAAAACAGTCAATGTATTTATACGCAGGGCATTCAAGGCATAGATGAAAACAAATATAAAAATTGTATGACAATAGGACTACTGAAAACTTTTTCAACCATCAAATCTTGGAAAGGCAAGAACAGCATTTTTAAAGATATTACTACAGCAAAATGATCATCAAAACATGCCGACGAGTACTTTGTACAAAAAGTACAAGCAAGTACAACTGGCCTAGCGCCTTCCTTGGGACCGGGGCACACCTAATTAGGGGACTAGTGGAGACACTTTTCTGTAAAAATATAGGAGAAAAATAATATATTTTAACAACACGAAACAAAAATGTTACCACTGTAACTACCAAACCCTTTTTGACATGCTAAATTTACAATAAGCTTACCAGCCGACCCAAGCCCATCAAGTAATTATATTTCATCACTTAATATTACTTTTGTTTATTTATGTAAATTTTATCTGGACCACATCGAAAACCAATGCCTTTGCATTGAGAGTACCATCCAAAATAGGAATTGGATTAAATAAATAAATTAATTAATCTATTTATTTATTGTTAATTTCTTTTTCTTTGAAATTCATTTGCAATGTGTACTACACTATGCTATCTCGAAAAGAAGCCCATACTGTATTATCTTAATGTCTTCTTTTCGAGATTACCTTTGCAAACTAAAGAGCGGGGGTTGGCCCGGTGGGGGCTTATTTTTGGGATGGTTTTCTTCGGTGAGCTGGCTGCTGTATGATGTGTCAACTTCCGATGACAATGCGCATGCTCACTGCTGTGACTTTCCACACATCGTCCCACGCACGGTCTCATCATCACACATCGCAGCCACCCGTGTTTGGTGGTGTGTTGTCGTAAATCAGCTGATAATGATAAACAATTCTCGCCGAAAGTTGAAGTTTGATTTGTAATTCATAACGGCTGATATGGGTAAATTATGAGATACTCCATAATTTTATAATTTACATGAGTCATATCTCATACACGCCGAGCTAGATCTTACGCACCTATTTAGTCGACCAGTCAGTGGAGGTTAGGCTAGGCCTGGAACATCCATTCAATTATGGCATCCGCGGACACGGAGCCCGACTCTACCGTTTCCACCAAGCCAACAGACCTGCCTGCTGGGTTACCGGTGTATGGATGGCGACGTGACTTGGATAAAGCGTTTGAGGAAAAGTGGGGGCCGTTGAGATCAAAACATATTCGAATACGACAATTAGCAGAGATGATAGGTCAAGGATTTAGGTAAGGATTTCTATTCTGTTCAATGGGTGGCTTGATATATCCAATTCAGTCCAGCAAAACAAGGACTTTTCAGCAGGGCCATGCATGGGAATGTCATACTGTATGGGGGTGGGGGTGCAATAGTGGCCAAACTAGAGTCAGGGGAGCAGAGTCAGTTGGATTACAGCTTCGATTGTCATTGCTATGGCAACTTTAACTTTATTACCCAGATACTGGCCTAGTAAAGATTGCAGGTTAAAATGTAAAGAAATGAAAAGATTCCTTAAATTTAATCTTATACAAAAAATAAAATTTATATTCAGTACATTCTTGAATGTTTTAAATAAGCTTCCTAAGTTTTGCTAAGAAGAGGTCTACCACCAATTGAAAAATGGAGTGATTTTAACTCAGATTCTATGTTTTTGTTTTTTTTTTACCTAGGTATATTCAACTGTATTATAAATTAAAGAGAGAAGGAAGAAGGATATTTATAGATCAATTTGAGCCAACAAAATTGAAACAAATTTATGGTAAGGTCTAATCTTTGTTGTATTTCAACTTTGCTACTTATTTTCTTAAATAAGGCATGATTAGGTTCAGATGATATCACTAAACACACGCATCATTTATTAGAGGTCAATCACAATCAACATATTCGCAAGACTCTTGTTCCGTACCCCTCCCTCTTTTCTGAAAGTGTACATAAACATATTGATTCCTTACACAGATCATTTTTTTGAAAGGCAAAACTGTGAACACTAGTAGAATATCTGGGCCACTTTGGACTGGGAGGCTCAGGGTTTCCCCCACTGGATGTTATCCATCAATCAAACACTAATAATAAACTAATATAATAATATGTTAATGAGCCTAAAGTAATGTTGGACAATTTCTACTGATGTTGTTTAGATTTAAAGTTAATAATTGCTGGTAGGAAAAAAAGACGATGATGTATGAATTAACCAATTACAATCCTGTCAAATAATAGTTACTGTATTTTATATTTGCATTTCTCTGTTGTATTTGTACTATTTGGTTGGATTTTTTCAAATAAGTACTACAAAGATACAAGTGATAAATGATGTTTATAGAGGAAATTATTTTAAAATCCACCCATAATACACCATTTTAAATATGGTACTACCGTACATAATCTATGTTCTTCATTGTCAAGTTTTATATGTTTCAGTCTCAATTGCGCTATTTTTTGTCATAATTTATATAAATGCCCAAGGGTGTTTTTTTTCCTGATAGGGAAGAAATAGGTTTTGGCAGGCTTGAATATATATCATAATTCACCATTGCATTCTTTTAAAATATGCATTGTTTCATTATATAAACAATATTAACAGTTGTTTACTGATATTAAAGAATCATCCATGTTATTATTGAATGAACCTTCTTCTAGCAGTACAGGCTAGTTTATATGAGGGTTCTTAGAGGGCATAATTTTGTTAAGAAAATACACATAATATTAAAGTGATATTATTGTTCACCATATTATTTTAGTGGTCAGATAATGAAACTGTTATTAGACGGAAGGATACGATTATTTAAAAAAAAATCATAATATCCAAATCCCAATGTATGCCTACATTACTATGTCTGATTAACACCTGTTCTGGAGAAGGCACAAAGTACAGTAAAACAAGGCAAATACAACCCCTCAAGATAATATAAAATATAACCAATATATTTCTCAACTTATTTGCCCTATTTTCTATCTTTTAAGATATACAGATAAAGCTCTAGTATGTATTTTCTCTTAAATTCACTGCTCATAAGGTCATTCCGTCAATTATAGTTTTATGAACAGATGTACTTGTACAAGAATTCTCATCACTTAACCATAACCATTTGTACACGGAATTTAGCTGCATTTAAGCTGCATAATATGATGGATTTTAGGCTAATATTATATAAGTGATAACTATATTTTTACCAAATATGCACCTTCATTCACCCAATATATCATTGAAACTATAATGCAAAACATAATTGGTCACCAATATTGTTTTAAAAGTACAATATTTGCTGAAATTTAATAAACACAAATACAGACTATATACTTTATTTACCATTTTTATTATAAAATCAATGAGAAAGATATTATAAAAAAGGAACCAATTTAGATTAATTATATACAGTATGATACAATATTATATAATTTATCTTGTATTATATCAATTATATGATATATTATAAATATTATATAATTTATAGTACAATATTATATAATTTATAAGAACAGACTTCCTGTTTTCCCTACAAAATACTAGCAGTTTGCATTATTTATTACAATTCCGATTAAAAATTACAATTGAAGACTTAGCTCAATAGTTACTTATGGTGTGAGAGTACATGTTTTGTAGACAGTGCATGGATGGTTAGTATCTACATATCCTTCCGAAGTAGATGATGCTTTTGTAAGATGATATAGGGTGTTAATGCTGACATAGATACATCGTGCAGTACTACAATTACAGTTGTTGTTTAATGTTGATGGTTATTTTAAATACACTTGAAATTATATTCATTACCACAGTACCAGTATGTAAGGTAAATTTTATTGTTAGTTTACAGTCTCTGTTTGTTAAGTAAACAGAAGGTATAAAATATAACTGTATTCATATCTGGTAATATCATTTATTGGAAATTAGATTTCATAAAAACTTACACATTTTTATAATATGTATTTTATGAATAGTCAATAATTTTATTATTTATTAGTTCATACTGTGATTGTCACTGGATTCTAAATCTATTAAGTTACTCATCAACGGCTGTTCAGCATCTGTATTCATGCGCAGTGTCCTAAGCAACGATCGTAACCAAGTGCTCTTGTTATCTCAATAATGTGATGGAAGTAATGGTGCTTTATGTTTACTCTGGCATATTAAATAGAGAAATATTCTGCAGTATTTTTATTAACACTACTGCCAACCTCTGTTATTAAGGGGACACTTTTTTGGTCCTAAAGATGTCCCTGTAATAGTGATTCTACTGTATTACAAACAATTTATCCCAAATCATTTTACTATGAAAGCATTTATTACTATTTATGTTTTTGTTGTAATTGGTTATTGACATTATTTTCAATAATAATAATAAATCATTTTTGTAAATTTTTATCTACAGTAAACGTTGTACAAATAGGTACAGTACATTACAATACTGTCCGTTGGTTCTGACACAGTGCAAGATTTATCATTTAATGTACGGTGTTATACATTTATAACAACAATGACATTATATATCATCATCAATATATAAATTGTTATAATCATAACATCTTTGATTGATTTATAAAGCTTATTATTGTTTATGTTAACATTGCAGGCGTTCCAATTGGTGGGATAGGCTGCGGTGCTATAAATCGAGGCTGGAAAGGTGACTTCTGTCGTTGGTGCCTTACCCCTGGAATGTATAGTTACGACATTGTAGAATCAGATCAGGTTGGTACAGTACCAGAATTTTGAATAGAGTACTATCCAGCAAAAATCCATTATAGAACTGTAGGCATTGTTTGTCAAATGTTATACTGTATTCCGTTTTAGTTTACGGTGTGTATACGAAGCAACGGAAAGACGGTATACCAACAAGTGCTATCGCCCGGTAAGCCTGAGGGTAGGGTATTGGAGCATTGGAAATGGAATTTTCCTGGAGGTGATGCTACATATCTAGGGCTTTATCCACGCGCATGGACTATTTATCGTATCCCAGAATTCCAAGTGACACTGGTTTGCAGGCAGATCTCGCCGGTATTTCCAAATGATTACAAGGTAAGCTTGTCAAATTTGCTTAAAGGAGTTTTGAGTGAATGATTTTCACTGGATGGATGCTTTCCCTGTTGAATTATAATGAACAACCAGTAGTCTGCATTTTAGTATTATGGGTTTTTTTTTTCATCTTAATAGGATACAACTATACCAGCCGGTGTGTTTGTGTGGGAAGTGCACAATTATTCAGATCAACCCTTGGATGTCAGCATTATGTTTACTTTTCAAAATGGAACAGGCCAACCCAGTGATAAACTAGGTGGAAGATGGAACGAACCATTCTTAACAAGGAAGACATCGGAAGTTCACACTACTGTTTCTGGGGTGCTTCTTCATGATTCTCACACTACTATGGGCTGTACCATGGCAGTTTCGGCTGCAGTTACTGTAAGAATACCTTATTTTAATTTTTCACTAAATATATTTGAAATATATGAAAACGGTTAGGATCATCATCATCATCTTTTAAAGTCTGTATCCAATATCCTACTGGACATAATTATTCTTACTTTCATTGGCTATCATGAGTATATTTCAAACCAAGAAGGAAAAAAAACCAAACCACTTTGCAGATTCCTATCAATTCCAAACTGATTCCATATTCACTTAAATATTTGCTTATCAACCTTTAATAGTTTAATCAGAAATTTCATTGATCCTTGCATGTTAAATTGTCATTGACCTTCTCATAAATCTGTTGCATATTCAGCTGGTTTACTTTTCTTTTCTACATTATTCAATGCCATTGTTTACATGTACATGGCATGTACAGTACATTAAAAAAGGAAAACATCTGTGGCAAATGAGCTGTTAAAATAAACATGTAATGCACAAAAGAGAACATAATCATGAATCATGTTAGGGTGTGTTTCTACTGATAAACACAAAATAATCGATTTTTTAAAACCGTTTTTTTAATGAGTACCAAATAGCCTGCTGGTGTTGCAACTGCATTTTTGATTTTTCGAAAATCGGTTTTCGTGGCAGAAATTACGTCACCATTTTGTTTATACAACACGTTGTTTTCCTAACTGTATAGGATAGTATCTTTCTCATTCCTGTCGTCATGATGACGAGGAGTAAGTAATGTGGGGCGAGAAGGCAAATGTTTTCGGCTGTGCTCATCAGCACAATTATGAACGACTACCAAACAAGGACAACGGTAGGCACAAAGAGCGGAGAGTCGTAGGCCCAATATCCCCAAACCCCACACAATAATTACAAAACGAATTCGTCACTCCTCATGTTTGTTGACGTTTTTAGCTTGTAGGCCTAGGACATGAACAAGAGGACAAATTTTTTTTTAAAGTTCGCGCCTAATACGATCTAGTCTTTGCAGTGATTTACCTGGAGGTCACATTTCACCTGATAATCGGTTTTTTTGTGTTGCAGCTAAAAGGTGCACAGCCAAAATCGGTTATTTGCCGTTCAGACACGCTATCCATTGCGTGTTTTTAATAGATTTTTTTTAATCACTTTAAAACGTTTAATTATATTATAGTATATAAGACATATCAGAATTCAATGTGCTTCAAATCATAAATTTAAATTGACTCCCTTTCACATAAATTAACAGCTTCTATTTCCAGAATGGTTCATAAACAAAAAGGGAATTTTACGATTCTTAGTTAAATATGTTTAGGCTTCCAGAACCAGCATTATTTAATAAATGGATTTTCTTTGTACAGGACAAAACCAAGTAGTAGGCTGTTAGTAAAAGTGTTCATATATTATCTAGTGTGAGAATGATGTTGATCCAGGTGGCCTTGAGGTTTCCTGATTCTGTCATTGATTTCTGGTTATAGGTGCTATACACCCTGAAAGAAAGTGTTCAATGAAATATTGATTAGTTGTCATTGGTGTGATTTGCACTTACCATGTGCTGCTTTTAAAACTATATTTTTAGTTACTTTCTCTTCATTATTTAAAAAAAAAAAATTATTTCATTTAATTTAAAATGTATACTAAAATTTACAACTATTATTAATAGGTTTATTATCAGAAAATTACAATTTATTTTGACCTTTGTACACCAACCTTAAAAAAAGGTTGAGCAAACTGCACAAATGAAAAATTAGTGCACTGTTGCGGATAGGCAAATAACTTTGAGAGTTGCAGTGATGACGTTACGATTGACTTATAATAGGAATTATAATATTACATAGTTTGCTTTGGTTATAGGGCTATCATGTCTGTCTCCCAGTGGCACTGTATTTGAATTAAATAATCAACATCAGTGATAACTTGAATGAGCACTGCATTATTATTAAATAATAAATTTGATTATGGATATGTGATAAAGATATGAGTGTGAACCTAATAGATTTTGGAGAAACCTTATTTAAACTGAAAATTGGAAAGCCCTCCATTGATACTGTATTTGTTTTACTTTTGGACCTAACGGAAAGACAATGTCATTACACTGAATGATTATCCTGAATAGAGAAAGGATTTTTTAATCTGTCTCTCTTCATAGTGCTAACTGTAAGCTACAGTACTTACTTGATTATAATATTGTACTTATAACTCAAAGTTTAAAATCACAATACAAATTGAAAGAGAGTATGCAGATTTATTTGAGGATAAAATAAGTTACAGGTACTGTGATTAACAACAAATAAATTAGCATTAATTAAATTACAGTGTTATTTCTATACAGTATAGGATGTACAGGTAGTCTTAATAATTACAGTAGATGCTTGTAAGGGATTTCTATCTCTCTACACAGTGCTACCTTTAAGCTACTGTACATATTATTTGATTATAATATTATAATATAACTCAAAGTTTAAAATCACAATACAAATTGATAGAGAGTATGCAGATTTATTTGAGGATAAAATAAGATACAGGTAGGGCCTACTGCGATTAACAACAAATAAATTAGCATTAATTAAATTACAGTGTTATTTCTATAGAGTATAGGACATACATGTAGCCTTAATGATTAGATGCCATGTAAGGGATGTCAGCTAATATGGATATCAAAGAATCACCCTCATATTTCAATAGAGTAAAAACATGTAATTAAACAAAAAACCATGTTTCTTTCCTTGTTAAAATTTGGGCAATGTCCTACTTCCAGCCCATGAAATTAGGAAAAAATTAGGTTGGCAAAAATTTGCCAACCTTAAATTCTCCGAGGTTAGCAGCCTCGGCAATTTTTTATAGGGTCTGTCATCATCTACAGATTGTGATTTTGTTAATTTCTCTATTAAATCAATATATTGCTGGTGAAAGAATGGTTGTACTTGTATTATTTTAATAGTTTAGTATAATACATATGTTTTACATAAAAAAATCGCCAAATAAATTTTGTTTTAGCGTTCGTTTTATCGTTATCTTTGGCATGGGAAATATCACTATTGTAAAAGCGACGATCGTATCATCACAGGCTGCTTCAAAACTGCCCATGCATGTCCATGCGCATGCCCAGAATAATCTATCAGGGATTTTCCACACATGTACAGTACTTGTCAGTAGTGAAGTCACGATGCAATCGTGATTACGTTTAAACAGACGGTAGAATTAGGCCTACAATATGTTGAATTTTGTTTTTTTTAGATAATAAACAACATTTTAAATATGATAATACTGTAAAATGAAGACAAATAATAGATTTAGATAAGCATTACGATCTACGTGGCCCACATGGCTTCAATTGGGCGATATTGTAGGCCTTGGCTGGCTAGCGTCATTCCTACCTAGGCCTAGCCTACGAAAAGATGAAAGACGAGTGTACATAAATCGTACGTACTGCATGCCTATTAGAAATAGTTATTGTACAAACAAATCTGTTTTATGAACAACCAATTTTGATGACGTACATGAAATTTAGTGTCTGCTATAGACTGTTTCAGTCAAAGTTTTTGACTTTCCAAACAGTTTTTGAAGCAAAGAAATCTAGGCCTAGGTCGGCAAAAAATTGCTGCACTTCATTCCATCGCAGAAACACCGATCAAGTTATTATCTGACAGACAAAAAATTGATATGTGTACTGAATGTCCTATTTATTCAAACATTCTATGTAGTGATTATAGTAGTATATTTATTGTAGTTTTAATAATGATAATAACCTAGCATTTATAATGGGCCATCTATCTAGAGTAGGAATCTGAATTATTCAGAGGTGTAGATTATTACTCCAGGTCATCAGATATACACAGACAGCAATGTACCATATACAAACCTTGTCAGCTCCTTCGGAAGTATTTTTAGTACTGTAGCTACCTCAGAAATCATTCACATAGAGTTAATACTTCTGAGTGAAGGGAGACAAACAGATAAAATGTTGTGACTAAGAACATGAACAATGTGATTGGCATCGACCTCAAAACCAGAACTTGAAGGTACTTCAATGTTGCCATTCTGCTTGCCACCACATATAGTTTTTTCCCACAAATACAGGATTCATTGATCTATGTTTATAGTCCATAGTAGTATTTTATTGGATGTTAAGAAATAAGAATATTCAATAAACAAGGTCTGATTTTTTGACTTGTGAATGAACTTGCCCTACTGAATTTCAAAGGAAGGAAGTTTAATTATAGTCATACTATGCAAATTTTGCAATTATATCTTGATCTGTCATTACAGGAAGGGGTGTCTGTAAGCCATGTGTCAGGTTTTAACCCGTATGACAAAAGTGACCGTGGCAAGTCACTCTGGGAAGATCTTCACGAGGATGGACAATTAGAATGTCCTCCTGGTAAGAAATTTAATTTATTTTTTAAAAGTTATATTTTTGTTATACGTTTTTCACCTAAATAACTTTAAATCATACCTTAGACTAAAATTCATTCATCAATGGACTAAAATTCATTCATAATCATTTCAGGACCAACAGAAAAAACTAAGAAGGGAAGTGTCATTTCAGCTGCCGTAGCCGCTAAGAGAACAGTAGCCTCAGGCGACAAGGGGCAACTAGAATTTGTTCTAACATGGGACATGCCCAACGTCCATTTTAAGAGTCAGCGGCGCAAGTATAAGAGACGTTACGCGCGTTGGTTTGGTAACCATGGCAATGCAGCTCCAGCCCTGTCTACTTACGCTATAAATAATTATGCAAATTGGGAAGAGAAAATTGAGGCATGGCAAAATCCAATATTAGAAAATCCGTAAGTATTTGAAATTACCTTTCAATATATGTTATATATTGATATTGAAATATATGTGAATATAGATTTCTAATTTGTTATTAATGGTAAACTATCAATACTAACCCAATGAATGTATTCACCCAATAATAATAGTACAGTAGTGTAATTTAATTTATAATTTGCATATTGTATACATTTTTTTCTTCCGTGAATGTAACAGAGATGATATAAGTATCTCTAAATCTAATTTCACTTGATATCAATAACTTATGATGTATTAAAGTAATAATTTATAATTCACATAATTCATCTCACTTTTCATCCTCATAAACATGTTAAAAATATAAAGACCATGTGATTGGCATAACTACCACATGATAAGGACATCCACTTTTGATTTATTTTTAAATGTTTCTAGCGATCTACCTGACTGGTACAAATCAGCATTATTCAACGAGCTCTACTACATCTCTGATGGAGGTACTATATGGGTTGATCTGGCAGATGACCCTGGTACCTCTAACGGAGAAGTGAACAATGAGACCTTAAAGCCAGGTCATGCTAAACTGATCAAAGAGTATGGACGATTTGCATATTTAGAAGGTTAGTATAATATAAATGATGTTACATTGCAATCAGCTTAAGAGAAATTCTATGAAATTAGTTCCTTATAATATGCTTCCATAATCTTTGCACTTTTTAAACTTTTTACACTAAATGCTCTGAATCTGACTGCAAGTAGAGTTCAAAGGAAATGCACTCATTTTGACCTTGTAATGGTATAATTGTGTATGTAAAGTATTTTTACCATTTTGATTGCATTTTATGTTTATTGGAGTGTATCTTCATTTAAGCTTTTCAATTTATATATATTTTTTTCTTAAAATATTGTAAAGAGTATTAGTTTTGGATGCATCGTTAGGTGTTATCTAACATGCGCCACTGATACAAAAGTGCTATCCAATAAATATCATACACAGATCATTATTAAAATGCAAAATTACTTAATTTCGGTTTCCATTCATTTTTTTTCTCATTACTAAAATCAGCTGCACTCCCTAATTCTAATAAGATTTAATAATAATAATAATAATAATAATATTTATTTATATAGCATATTTTCAGATTTCTGTTCAATGTGCTTTACATAAAAAGATGATAAAATTAAATATAAAATAGGCAACATTATACAATGAAATTACAAAAATATTATATAGAAAAACTACAAAAATATACTTAATAATTACATTATTAATATAATTAAAGATTGAAAATTCTGTCAAAAAATTAATATTAATTACCTAATAAACTATAATATACAATAATTCCAAATTATTACAATATAATAAGGATCATTTAAAAATTTTAATTCAATATCTGCAATGTGGAAAGACAATCAATTAAATGGAAAGATATATAAAAATATAATTATTACAATAAAAATCATCATTTGAAATTAATTAAAAATTTTGAATTCACTAATAATGATAACTGAACAAAATTATTATTTACAATTACTTCAGTAACACAATGATTATTTGTTTAAAAAGCATCATTCCATCCTGCAAGTGGTGAGTATACAGTACTTGCTGTTTGATATGAGAGAATTCTTTTTTTGAATTATTTAATTTTGTGTTTTTCCTGCAGGACATGAGTATCGGATGTACAACACTTATGACGTCCATTTCTATGCATCGTTTGCATTAGCAATGCTCTGGCCAAAACTTGAACTATGCATACAACATGACTTCGGTAAAAATTGAATAATTCATAATTACAGTATCATAATTTTATTCCTCTCTATAAACAAAAAATGAGATGGTAGCCATCAAAGGGATATTATCTCTACAAATAAATAATTGAATTTAATAATAATAATATAATATAATACATATTAAGTTGATTGACAAAACTTATAATTGATTGATATTTAATGTTTCATTTAATAATCTTGATAATTACTGGTACTGATTTAAATAATCAAAATATGTTTTTTAGTGTTTTTTTTTTGTAGTAAAAATAAACATTGTCTTGTTTATCTGCATTTATGATTTTGAGAATGAAGATTAAATACAGTTTTAAGCTGTATAAACTTATGAGATGCTATCTTTAAATTGATAATGGCAATCAATGTATTACTATATATTTTTCATTTTGAGTATTTCTTTTTCCATTGTCAACAATAGTGATAATAATAATGATTTTGATTACAGGTATGTTCGTTGAGCATGCTGATGAGGAGGTGTTTAAGGAATTGAACACTGGTAGACCAACACCACGTAAGCTAGTTGGCTCAGTACCTCATGACATTGGTGATCCAGGTAAACAAACAGAAAATAAACATGATATGTACCATCAAGTCATTGCTTTTTAATGTTATGGATCTCATCTTCATGTGATGCTACTTATAAGTTTAATACGTATAGCATCCTATTTTTTGCTTCAATTCCTATATTGCAATTTACTGGGTAATTTATTTCTGTCTTATTATATGGACTGTTATTTTTTTGCATCTCGACAGAGGAAGAACCGTGGTTAAGTATAAACAGTTACTACCTCCATGATACATCACAGTGGAAAGATCTGAATCTGAAGTTTGTGCTGTTAACCTATAGAGACTATTACATAACACAGGATATGGACTTCCTACGTGAAATGTGGCCACGCCTAAAGGTATTCAATTCAAAAGAAAAATTATTTACTCCTTGCAATGTTACATAGAATGAAAAGGAAGTTATACAGTAGAGTATGAAATATTGCAGAATATAAAAAAAAAGTATTCATTGTAATAATTATACATATGAAGAGATAATAATATTTAATAACGTATATACAAGTGATTGGAAGAAGGCAAATAACCGAGAAGATTGCAATAACCTTGTTTTGGGCCTGCAGAGCAACAAAAACATGGGAAACAATACGTTTGGACAAAAATACAGTCATACGAACATGGTGTGACAGACAAAAACGACATAAAAAAATTGACAAAATCTAAAATTACTTGTAAATTAAAAAAAAGTAGACTGAAAATGGAAGGAAAACAAAATGTATAAAGGAGAATGATTGATATTTATATACAAGGTATATTTTTATTTTAATTGAAAATTAAAATTGTTTTTTTGAATAAGAATTAATAATTGGGAGAGGTAGTTCATTCCATAATTTAGGACCAGAAAATCGTAGGTAAATTGAAAATAATGTGTTCTATGAATTGGAATATGAATAAAAGACTTAGATCTTGTGAAGTGTTCGTGCAGGGAGAGATTAGATTGCAACAAAGATGATTGGGCAGTAGAAAATTAATAGAAGAATATAAAAAGACACATTGCTGCATGGAATTTATATCGTGAAATTTAAGAAGATTTAGATTACCAAGTAAAAGAGAAGAGTGGGATCTCGTGAGAAAAAGACATAAGCATAATAATAACAGATCTGCAACTTGTTTTAATTAAGACAATTTAAATTCTTTTTTAACATTGGTTTAAATAATTTGTTTCTTTGTAGCTTGTAATGGAGACATCAAAGAAACATGATACCGATGGTGATGGCTTAATAGATAATTCTGGTTTTCCAGACCAGACATACGATGCATGGACAGTCACTGGCGCAAGGTATGTGAACAGGAGTTAGAAAGTTAGAAGAGATCACTTTCGGGAGATCTGTTTAAATGAGCGTTTTTAACATATTTAATTGCATTTTACTGAATTCTGTAAGACAATCATACAGTTACACTAGTAAAAATATGCAAGTCTATTTCGTGAATACTTACCTAGATAAACAGACTAATTGCCATTGTTCCCAAAACGGAACACCTTCTCAAAATAAAATCGAACAGTCCGACCCAGGGTGCCACAAATGAACTATGAATTTGCTGGAGGTGGGTTATTTTCCGGGAGATTCTTGCTTGCAGGATGCTGCCCCGATTTCCGGGAGACTCCCGCTACTCGCTAGAGACCCCACAACTTGCGGAAGACTTGACACCTCTGCGTGAATATTAGCATAAAGCCATTGTCCATAAGTGGGACACTTAACTGCCTACTAATTGGCTTAGTAAGTACCAATATATATGAATGCTTTTTACATTTATTTTTGTATGCATTTTAGTGCTTATTGCGGAGGGCTGTGGTTGGCTGCTCTATCAATCATGTGTGAGGTATCCCGTGTCCTAGGTTACCATCGTGAGTATGATGAGTACAAGAGTCTGCTAGAACGTGGCAAAGAATCCTATGAAACTAAACTATGGAATGGTATTACTATATTATTATTGTTGTTTTTATTGTTCTTGAAGACTTTATTTATAGTATTGTACTTAATTAATATCAATATTTATGTTGTTTGTGCATTAATGATAATGCAGATGATGCTGATTTTACAATTTTTTTGCATTTTTTTATTTTCAGGTAAATATTACAATTATGATTGTAGTGGTAAATACTACAGCAACAGCATAATGGCAGACCAGGCTGCTGGCCACTGGATTCTACGGGCGTGCAACTTTGTTAGCCCCAACAATCCCGTCTTTCCTGTGGATCACATCAAATCAGCGCTTCAGACAATTTTTGAACTAAACGTGATGGGTATAAACAATGGAACATTTGGTGCAATGAACGGTGTACGACCAAACGGTAAAATTGATCCATCTAGCTTACAGGCAGAGGAGGTCTGGACTGGGGTAACATATGCTCTGGCAGCTAGCATGATACAGGAGGTAAGGAAATATTTCTAAACTCAAACACAAACTTATTTTATTATTTGATCTGTCTATGCTATAGTAAGGTATATGGCATAAATGTATTTTTAAAATATTTTTATTGTGATTGGAAGCAGCCAAGTTGTTTAGTGTGATGTTGTACACAGAATTGGTTTGGTTTAGTGTAAATGCTATCTAATATCTTCCCATTTTCGTTTTCAGTGGCAGATCCAGGAATTTGAAATAGAGGGGACCTAGGGTGGGGCTTTCACATATGGTGATGTAGCCACCTCAGCCTCACCGTGGTTGGAGCTGAGGCAAGACAATTTAAGATTTGTTGCACCTCTACATGACCAGAAATGGCACTCTCAGACTTACATTTAAATATAATTTTATATTTTCTCAATTTTTTGGGCTGGGTCTGGGTCCACATTTTAATCCGCCACTGGTTTTACATACAGTATTGCAATTACATAAAAAATCTACTGATTTTCCAATAAATATAATAATTATGTATACAAATATACTGCGACTTGTCATAGTTATTTGTCTTGTTACAAGTTATTTACAATTCCTTTTTTGCAGGGCATGGTAAAAGAAGGCTTCCAGACAGCTAGTGGAGTATATGAAACGTGTTTCAATCGTCTAGGCTTTGCATATCAGACGCCTGAAGCCTACATGGCTAAGAAGGCATACCGCTCCCTGGGGTACATGCGGCCACTGAGTATATGGTCTATGCAGTGGGCTGTTGAGAACTGGCACGAATCTATACCAAATAAAACAAGTTAACCACAATGATCCATATTTTATTTATCATTTAGGGTAAGCTGTTATAAACTTTCAACAAGCATGACTTCAACTAGTAAATGTCTTATTGAGCTACTTGTAATGAGCGATTTATAACTGAGCAAGTTTTATGAGCAATTCTTTAAATGAGCAATGGATGACTGAGGATTATTTTATGAGCAATTTTTAAATGAGATTGCAGAGTTGGCAACTAAATGAGCGATTAATGAGTTTCCAGCTGAATTTTATCAGGGAGCAAGTGCTTCTGCAAATTTCTTTCAAATTTAAATGAGCAACTTTCTATGAGCAAATGTTCACTCTTGCTCATTTCATCCATGGGCAGCTTTCCAAATAATAACTCTTTAGAGAACAACTACACAGTAAGCAGGTCTCAGACCTCACAGCAATGCAGTGAGTATTGAAAAGTGATTGGTCGATATGGAATGATGGATGTCTTTTTTTGTGTAGTTTTAGTCATCAAATGTAACCTGTAATTAAAATGCAGTATGTATTTCATTAGCTGGGTGGTTGTAATTTATTCGTATTTTCAACACCAATAACTATAGCATTATTTGCTTTTATGTACCTATTTAGATTAAATTTTCAGTAATTATATATTTTATCTAACTAGAAAAAAAAAAGGCCAGTAATTTATCATATTGATACTTTATTGGTTGTTTAATACTAAGACTTAATGAATTTATTTATTAATAATAAAAATAATACTATGTATAGCACCATTCTCAAATAGTCGGTGCACCTTTACACTCAACTAAGCGCTGTGCCAAACATGATTTCTTTTCACTATGCACGGCTCTACATTAGGAGTCTGAATATAAAGCAAGTAAAGTTCTATAAGTGAGATGACACAGCGCTTGTTTGATTAACCAACAATCTTGTTAAATTAACTAATACATTCTGGTAGTGGTAATGATAGTGTGATTACGTGTGTGATCTAGCTATGTACTTTAATAGTAGTAGCAATGCCTATTTGAATTTAATATATACCTCGCATCTCACTACTGCAATATCCTAGGCAATTTATATTTTCTTGTACTCCTTACTTCCTTAAATAGGTAATCCAAAAATCAGTGGCTCAATAAATGCCTATATTTTTTATCCATTTTGCTGGAATTTGCTAGACTTTATATTTCTATATTCTATTACAATTCAAATCACACTAGAAATACATAATATATTATGTATACTTTACCTTAGGCAACTTAATAGTAACTTATAATAGCAGTTACTACGTTTCATAACGTGTAAAGCCTTTATCTAATGTATCAGTAGTAATATTAATTATAGTATAATATCATTATTTAATAACCAATATTATTACTGAACACTATGGTTCTAATCTAATCAGTCATAATCTAAGTCAAACTTATGAATTATGTTACTGTAATATAATGTAGGTACTTACGCAGCAATGTATACATACTAAAACTGTAATTAAATTTATAAAAACAATATAAATGAAGAGAAATACCACAAGATAGACTAGTACTTAGATTTTAAAAGTAACATCATTGAGGGCATGACAGTGGTTCATGTTGCTAGGAAACAGTGCAGGTAAGAATTTTATTAGATCTTTAGAAAATATTGGTATATAGTGCCGGCTACATTGATTTCTTAAAAATAAGGGTATATGTCAAAGCAGTTGCATCGTGAGTTTTTATGATGTTGCTTTTAATGATATGTGTGTTATGATGATGACATCCTAAAGGTGAGAATGACAGTTATGATGATAATATTGATGTTTGAGAAGGTAATGTTAATAATGAGAATGATGGAAATAGTATTATTGATGACTTCTTAATGAATATTAATGGTTAGGTTGATTTCTGTTTACTATAAAATATTGTTTTTACTATGCAAGCATTACATCAATTATTAATAAGCCAAACTGTTGACCAGAATATGTGGCGAAAACGTTAAGTTAAGAACACACCAATGTGCAATACACTTTTTTCTATGATAATTATATGTACACTCATAATATTTCTTTTTAAATCAGGTGAAAATATGGAGGCTGTAAAATTATGAATTTTATGATTATTATTTTTTAATCTAATTTAGATTTCAACATTTTTATTTTTCAATTAATTATGCTTTCATATTTTTGACTTGATCGACAGTGGTTTATTATGATGGTTTATCATTTTTGTTACTACAGTTGAACTTGCCTATATCAAATCCAAAATGGCATTGAAAAATTGTTGGACTTACAGATGGTTAATTAAGTGAAGACATAACAATTGGGTTTGTACAGTAAGATCGACTTAGAAAATATTTGAGTTAGGCGAGTTTAACTGTATTGGGTTTTTTTTAAATGTTTTTAAACAAATGTAAAAAATCTAAACATGTCTTTCATTTATTATTTTTAAAGAAAAAAACCTTGGCACTGTTTGCATGTTAAAATTTAATGGAAATCTTTTCCCTGTGTTGAATTTTTCGTATTTCTTCGGATGTCTGATTACTTTCTTGAATGAATTAGTTTCTTTTGGACAAGTACAGGTTTACAGTATAAAATAATTGTAAATGTGTGACAATTTTTCAAACCCATCAGTTTTGTGTAGAATGTGTCTAGGCCAATACATTTTACTTGAACTTTTATTAAACTTGGAATCTTTGGGCATAAAAAATGTAATAAATTATTGTTGGTGTCATTACTGTATTATGATAAGCAACACACATGTTTTAAACTTTTCACCTTGGCAAATGAGAATACAAAACCAAAAGCTGCAAGAAATATCTAGGAAATTACTTGCATATTTATGTCTCTAAAGTTAATTAAATATATGATGATTATTTTAAAAAATAAACATTTCTATATTTTGTAACATATTCTCACATGTAAGTTCTTCTGAAGTGTGCTTATAAGCAGTTGTAAAGGCAAATTTATTTGCAAAAAAACTGAGTTAGCAAACTGACTGGTTGCACATTTTTTCGCTGTGTAAAAGTAGAAAGAGTTTGATCTACTGATTCTGCATGCGAATGAACCAATGCTTTTGATTTGCGCGAGTAAAGTCGCTTAGTAGAAAACAGGCTTTAGAGTTAATTCTAGGAATAAGAAGGGTATATGATTATTAACAAGATGCAGTTTATCAATACAAAAGCAGTTTAATAATTTCAACAAGTGGTGTTGAATCAGACAGTGATATCTAATCGTATATAGTGCGATCGAATAAGGTAGTGCTATTGAATATGGCAATGCTATTGAATAAGGCAGTGCTGTCAAATTAGGCAGTGCTATCGAAGATGGTGGTTTCGAAAAAGGTTGTAATCGAATAAGGTAGTATTTTGAAATAAGTTAGTGCTATCAAATATGATAGTCCTATGTATAATTAAAGTAGTGGTCTTCAATAAGGAAGTTACTCTTGAATTATACTACCAATTAAATACAGTTCAGATAATGCTATTGAATTATATGGAGAATGAAATGAATAGGTTTGTGGCTATGGAGTATGATACAGGTATTACTGTAGTATAAAGTGAAAATTGCATGCAAAATGTTGAACTTATATAATTAATGAAATAACAGTAATCCACTTCAACATGATCTATACTGTAAATTGCATTCAGTATTGTATGGTATTGAAGAATTAGTGCAAGTTGTCCACACGTGCATGGGAATAGAGCGTGTGTCGTAATGGAAGAGGTTTAAGGCCCCTAGTTTAGCTTATTCAGGCCCTACTAGCATTGGGGTGTAGAGTCCCAGTTGGATATGTGGGGAATCTGTCAGCTCCCGCAATTTTGATGTATTAATTTCGTATTTTGATGTTATTTTAACATTTTGCGCTTTAAATGGCCCCACTTGGCAGATTTGGAGCTAATGGTCCTAGGCTAGAAAAAATGTTGATTAATATCCCAGAACCCCTGAAGGTCTAGGCCCAGTCTTTAGCCAATGAGAGCTCAAAGGTGTTAGGCCACTGCATGTGCATTTAAAATGTTGGAATACCACATCAATTTGACATTAATTTTTAGGTGTGCAAAAAAAAAATTGTCTTCAGTCAAAATATGAGACCACTATGCATTTGTTGTGGTCTTGCTGTTTACATATTAAAAGCCTAATTCCTTGCCAATAATAGTAAATGAAAGTGTGAAGTTTTATTTGAAGGAGGATTATTGGTTTTATTTGTTACAGCTGCAATATTGTTTTTGTTTTTTCAAGAGGTTTATTCTTTTTGTATTGGTATTTCTTTACTTTTTCTTTAGTTTTGCATTTTATTTTGTACTCTTGTGTATTTAAGTAAATGTGGGCATAACTTTAATCAGTTTAAACTGTTTTATGTTACAATAATTAAGTGTTTACCGAATACAGATTTTCTGATATGATTTGCTTACGTGTGTGACTTAGCATAAAAAACGAAACTCAATCTGTGTTTGCGTGTGTCATCCACAAATATGTAAACTTTTAATAAAAAAATACAATTTAATTCTATATTATAATTAAGTTTTTTTCTTTTGATTTTAATCTTTAATGTTTTACATCTGTTTTAGTTTCACTTGCCATTCTCCACAGCATTATTTTTCAGTATTTTATATATATATATATATATATATATATTATTATTATTAATATACTATTTCCTACCATAGGGGGAAACGATAACAATGGAAAGCGTTAGAAATAACACCTTAAGGTGAAAACACTGCCGCTATTAGGGGAAATTTTAATGATGTTAAGGAGAAATCTAGACAAAGGATTTTTCTCCCTATGTGTGTTAGTATGTTATATATTATGTATATGTTACCATTATAAGTTTTGTTCATTCTTTATATTCAATTGTATTAAATGAAATCAGTTCAGTGGAACCAGATGAGCATGTCTTCTGTCCTTCATTGTGAAGTGTTATACATCCTTCCATGAATGTTGAAAATGTAATCATTCTCAGCCTTTCCTCTTTTAATTGGTTGTGATACAGTATTTAGCCTAAATTAATCATATCCAAATGTATTATGCGAGACTATGCCTGTTTATATTCAAAACCTTTTGTCTATAATCATCTTGATATCTGAACATACGGTAAACCAAACTTGGATTGCCAGGGTTGCTCTCAAGATTGCTTGACATCTTTTACCGTAACATATGCAAAAGCCAGACGCAAAGGATTAAGTGTGAACGTTCACAGTGCGACCCTGAGCTGATTAACTGCGAAGGGAACCGTCGTTTTTAGTCGTCGGTAATTAGAGCAGCCCTGGGCCAATATAAGTGTGACTGGGCTCATAGACACAAACTGATATACAACTTTTATAGATTATTTGGTCACACGAAGGCATCACTTGTATTTATGGGTGAGAATAACGTGTATATAGAATAAGAAAATGCGTTGGAATAAAATGTGTATGTGTGGCAAAAATGTCATCTGTGTGCATGGGATTAACTCAATACATTTGTTTCATGGACGTATTGGCGGATAGGCCAAGTCCCCTTCCCCTACTCTCATTAAGACCCACTTATTCTCGTCCCTTTAGTTTATTTTTTTTCTATTTCCATGCCAGCTAGCTTTTATAGCTTTAACTAGGATAGGAGGCGCCCGAATCCGAGATGGCCGAGACTCAACAGGTGCTGAC